AAATGTGGTACCCATGTGATAACATGATCTGATACCTACCCGAAAGAAATAATAAATAGAATTAGATTATGGTGACATTAGTTTCCAGGCAATAACTCACATTACGAATTCTATCACTGAGCACTTTAGCAATTTGAATAACAGTTGTGTTTGTGAGAATATCCTTAGGATGAAGCTCACTTAGGAATGATTCTTCAATCGATGCCGCTACCTGAATATTAGTTTCAATGAATTTCGTGTGGAACATTGATTTGCACAGCTCGTATACCTGCATCGACAAACGTAAAAAGAGCAAATGTGGATAATTCTGCAGAATTCCATATTGTTCTTTTCCCTGTTTCCATTGCAGGTCTACAAGAAGAACAAGAAATTAGAAATGCCAATTGAAAATTTACTAACGGAGTCCATGTCTTGACCATCTGGTTTACCATGGCGACGATGCCATTGATCGATATCTACCTGAAGCGCAATTGAACTACGAATTACGAAGCAAGAGATCTACACAAATAATTAATGTTCCTAATGAATAGCGGCGGCACGTGAAGCGGAAACAAGTGGCGCCGTTACCACATTTGTGGTTGTGGTCCCGCTATGTTGGTACCGAGCCTTCCAACCATCCGAGATCGGTTTGCTAGGTGTCAATCCGTCTAGGAGGCCAAACCCATTAACTGTACAGAGTGGGACAGAATTACGGTCCATCAAACCCCGACGACGATCTACAAAATTAATCTAACTAAGTATTATTCATTACAAAAATAACAACCAAAGAAACAGATCTATTTTTTCAAAGTGATCGAATGGACGCCTTTAGCGGTTCTTCAGAACACCGGCCATCGCTATAAATGCGGCGGCAGGTAGAGTGATGAATAATTTCATCCCAGGATTCCAAAAGCGCCGTTTAAAGAAATCTCATATTAGGGTATTTGATAGAGGTGTACACTTAATATAGCTATCGACAAAAGGCGACTCTAGAAAGAAAACATTCTCAAGCCTCATGTTTCAGGCAAGCTTGCCCCGACTGAGAAAACGCCACTTGGCGAAGTCGGAACAGTCGTTAAGGAACTTTGCAGAAATAAAGGATAAAGGATAAAGCATTTGCCGTTGATCAATCCCTTTTTGGGATGCGGCACGCATTCTACTTCCATTTGTACATTCGTAGTGGCGTTTGAATGCGATGTGGCCTATACAATGACTTGCGGGGGCCAGCCGATGTACAAGTCAGTGTTTTTATCCTCCCAGACAAGTCTGGTACCAATTTCCGACCCCGAGGGATGGAAGGTTGGGCCCGGGCGACTCACGACCCAGGATTTGATCCCCGGACCGCTCGCGTGGTAAAGAGCGTGCCACTTGCCACTAACGCACTTCCGCCCTCAAATTTTTGCAAAAATATCTCGGGTAAATAGAGCAGGAGCTTTCAACTTCATTCAAATACGACGGATATTCTACCTCAAGTTTGTTTGGATTTCATGTTTGTTTGTTGCGTTTGTAATAAATAATACCCATCGCAAGAATTGATTTTTTGAGGTAAGCTTTTCTCCAAACGACATAGAAATGTTATGCATCAGTAATTCTACACATCCTTGAATTCGTGGCCCTGAATATAGTGTGTGTCTGCCGAATGCGGTACTACTTTCCGTCTAGAATGTGACAAAAAAGTCGAACGCGAAGTATCCGGCGCGGTGAAACTCCAGTTCGGGGGGGGCACTCCATTGCTATCTTATCCGTAGTACTAGAGAGCAGTTCTTTGGGCTATCGAACACTACGGATAAGATAATAAGTGAACGACTCATTTCGAGCGTACTTTTGATAAGGACCGGTGGATGTCCTACATTCCACACTACCTGCCCACATCCCATCCACTTTTCTGCACAGGTGATCCACCCTGGAGCTCCTGCACCCTTAGCCCTTTGCGGAGGTGTCCTTTCTCCTGGTCCAGGACCGTTCCCTTGGGTCATGGCAGGCGGAAATGTGAAAACGTTTCAGGGTTTCTCACCCATTACACCAATATTTATCAGAAGTCTACTTTAAATGAGTCGATTACGTGTCGTGAGCCCTCTAATCCTTATCTTGAGTATTGGAGAAAAAATGGAGTGGCCCCCCGAACTGGAGTTTCACCTATCCCGGAAATCTGATTACCGCTTTCCTGATCTTATGAGTGATATAAGAAGATTACCTGAACAGCAATGTAATGTCGTAGTTGTCCAATTAATACTTTGGAAAAGAAGTTAGCTGTAGAATTCCAACACGACAGGTCGTCATCGTTCAAAGCGCAGTGGGTGCTGGAAAACAACACTATAGTA